TTCCCTTTCGGCGCCATCGCACAATCAAACAGAACACAAAAGGAATAAAAGAAGAAATCAAAGAAAAAGCTTACCAAAAACTTCGCACTCGTGCAGCAAGCAGAAAATAATCCTCGAAATTTCAGAAGAATTTCAACAACAAGTATGATATGGAAGCTCAAAAATGAAACCGAAGGTGAAGAAACCCCGACCAGATATTGCTAGGCCCTATTTATAATTTTCGATTTGTGACCGTTGAGAACCTTAATTGGGGGTGCGTCGAACCGACGCGACCCCTAATCCTAACCGACACCACTTCTTCGTCTGATAAGACACCTACGGTTACACGTAGCAACCTATTAAAGTCGACCGTTACCACATTTAAGACCATTACGGCGCGACCGTTCAATCTCAACATTAAATCGTTGACCGTTACGACCATTCACGTCCCTCCTGTCGCAACTGCCTGCAAGTTACTCGAAATTCACCAAGTGTCTCCACCTCGGAATACAGTCTATACTTCGGACAAATGATTCACCTCGGCTACGTCGACCAGGAGACCGAAGATGACCCTCCGAAGATAATCAACAACACCCTGTCGCTGACTTTTTACCGATTCGGAGCCTCTAAATGTCTGACATGGCAACATTGATGACCATCACTCCGTATGCCCACCGATATTGGGGGCCTCTCTGTTATCATCCAATTCGGTAAAACGCCATTAAGAGTTTCCAAACATTATATTAAGAGGAAGATGACCATCGAACCGATGTGATTTTAACATCACCTCGGTCCAGACAATGAGCCAGACCGAACTACCGAGGACCGAAGTGGTCAGCACCTACCGAGGTCTACTTAAACCGAGATCGTCACCTCCTTAAGCAGGTGACAAGGTGCCCACGCACAACCATCACGCTCCACAAGATCCGTCATCATTTCTGTGGGACCCATCACGGCTCTTCACCTCGGTTCACCTCGGACCGGGGCCATTGTTGATTTATTCCTACATGCTTTACGTCCAAATCATTCATAATTCTCATCTTAAACACGGGTTATATTGTTGTTAACAATCACATAACAACACACGTGTTTATTGTAGAAGGAAGTTTGCATTGAGTAAATCATGATTGAATAACTTGGGACTTGTTTTTGTTTTGTTGGATTCACATGTGGGAACCGTGCTCTCGAGTTTG